ATCCTTGTCTGGTTCCCATTCTCAAGGGGAATGCTTTCAGACTGTCTCCATTTAGGATGATGTTGGCTGTTGGCTTTGTATAAATGTCCTTTATTATGTTGAGGAATTTCCCTTCTTTTCCTATTTTTCTGAGAGTTTTTATCAGAAATGAGTGTGGAACTTTGTCAAATGCCTTTTCTGCAGCAATTGGTAAGATCATATGGTTCTTATCTTTTGTTTTATTTATGTGATGGATTACATTGATTGTTTTTCTAATGCTGAATCATCCCTGCATCGCTGGTATGAATCCCACTTGATCAAGGTGAATTATTTTTTCGATATGTTGTTGAATTCTATTGGCTAGAATTTTGTTGAGGATTTTTGCGTCTATGTTTGTGAGGGATATTGGTCTGTAATTTTCTTTTTTTGTGGTGTGTACCTGGTTTTGGTATCAGGGTTATGTGGCTTCATAGAATGAGTTCGGGAGTTTTCCATCCTTTTCTATGCTCTAAAATACCTTTAGTAGTAGTGGTGTTAACTCTTCTCTGAAAGTTTGGTAGAATTCTCCAGTGAAACCATCAGGACCCGGGATATTTTTCTGCTGGGAGTTTTTAAATTACCTTTTCAATCTTTTTTTTGATTATAGGTTTATTTAGTTGTTCTACCTCTGTGTTAGTTTAGGTAGGTAGTGTTTTTCTAGAACTTTGTCCATTTCCTCTAGGTTTTCAAATTTGTTAGAGTACAATTTTTCATAGTACTGTGTTATGATTCTTTTAATTTCATTTGGGTCTGTTGTGATATCCCCCATCTTATTTCTATTTTTTTTTAAATTTTTTTTACTGTACTTTAGATGAAGGTTTACAGAACAAATAGCTTCTCATTAAACAGTCAGTACACAGATTGTTTCATGACATTGGTGAACAACCCCACGACATGTCAACACTCTCCCTTCTCAACCTTGGAGGAACTTTTTTTTTGGTGAAAATATACAGAGCCAAAGTTATACCATCAAAAATTTCTACATGTACAATTCAGTGACATCAATTACATTCTTCCAGTTGTGCTGCTATTCTCACTATCCTTTTCCAAATTATTCCATCACCATTATCTTCAACTCACT